CCAACCTGAATGGTTCTGTGATTCTACGGTATGGATTCTGGTGGCCAAAGTGCGCTGCTGTTCACTGCCAGAAAGCAGTAGGACAGCGGTAGCTGACTCCAGTGGTGCTTACCCAGCTCAGAGCTAACACCGGGTTGGCGGGCTGTGTTAGAAGTCACCAGGAGCTGGGCCGATGTCAGGTAGATGGATCTTGTTGCAAGATGCAGTCACATGTACAGAGGTTGACATTTTGGCTCACTGCGTCATTAACAATTTCTCACATTGTGCTGTGAGTGTGATTTCCACACCTCTGTGGTTGTGCTTCTGCCAACCAGGAGGTGCACACCAGGAGGCACTCTCACTGAAGCTCCCTGTGCTCAGCCACAGCAGTTACTCCTCCTGCTGTTCTCAGCCTCCATGGATCCCAGCCAGGGACCTGCAGGCAGCATGCTGCTCGCAACATCCCCTGGTACTTCTCATGGTGATGGGAAATAGAGCAGCTGGATCCAACAGCAACAGAACACAATGTGAATACAGATCTTCAGAAGAGTGGATCTCTGTTTGCTGCTTGTAGCACAATGGCTGGGCTGAGGGGAGGCTGAAAGCACACTGCTGCTTTTCTTCCCGGTTCAGAAATTTAGTCATCAAAACCCTATTTTTATTGCAGATGGAAAGTGAAGATGGTCCGTATCAAACCAACTGGGAGTCCAGAGAAAGCTGCTGCTTCCCCCTGATCGGCGCCAGCTGGACTTGTCTGTCTTCTGGGTGCCAGGACCTGTGAGTTACACAATCCAAATGTTCCCGAGTTATGAGTGTCGACAGGGCCAATTACAACCCACAGCTGCTACAGGTGCTTAGCACCTCTGAGCAGAACAATTACTTGGGTATTTTCCACTCATAAAGCAGTGAGATTTACAGTCAGGGATTCTCAGTGTGTGAGGTCCCTTTCTTTGCATTTTATCAGTTCCTGCAGCTTGGCCACAGAATCCTTTCTCATAAATTAGCTACGGTCAAACTCAGCAGTATTTTTTCAGCAGCCATGTAAACAATATAGTAAATCAAACATCTCTTTAAAAATAATGATGTACATGGTTTAGTTTTCATGAATTGAAAATAACCCTTCCGTGGTGTGGTTTTAGATCAAAAATGAAAAGTAAACCTATCAAAATCTATATTAATGGTCAAAAAAGAGGCAGTGTTAGTTATAGAAGTTTTTTTATTGATAGTATGCGTTTAGGAGAGTATCAATTTGTGCTGCAAAGGTGGCATTTTATTTCTCTAGTATACTGCAGAGGAAGAATAAAATGTTACAGAAAAGTAGAAAACCACACTAATGGCTAAAACAATATGGAATGTGGATAGAATTGGGGAAAATGGGAGGAAGTTGGCAGATAAAAGATCAAATGGCTAGAAGGAACATTAGCTGAAGTTGACTTTGGCATGTATAACATATGTTGGTCATTTTTCTGTGGCCAGTAGCTTGATCAAAGAAAAGAATAAAAGGACTTTCCTCATTTTGGCGTAGGATGCCTGTTTTGCTGTGTTCTCTCCCAGTTTTTTCACCCTTGTCTCTTTTCCTCACCTCATATACATACAGTATCTGCAAATCTCTGAAAAAGCCTAACTGAATAGAAGAGTGTTTTTTTACTCACACACTTGACAGTAAGTCTATCATATAACATCCATCAGGGTGGAATAGCTTATATGAATTTAAAGGAGGTTGATGAATCAGGTTGCATTCTCTCGTAAATCACTTCTTTTTGGGACTGCATAGAACTCCAAAATTTAGAGCTGCATAGGCCCTCTCCTATGGCAAAGGAAGAGAAGTGACAGTCACCAAGAAAAGAGCACCAATCAAAGCTACAGGTCTGCCTTAGGGCTGCTGCCAAAGCATGAAGTGGACAGCTGGCTATCTCTGTCCTTCGCAAGCCTGCGATGCAGAGGTCATCTACAAATGGAGGAGTGACACAATGTAACGTATCAGTACAGCACAGTATTCCAGAGTTTGCAATCTTTAATTTATTTAATGTGTTAATCTATTTATTAATAGCAAAGTGCCATTATCTGTATTTTTCCAAGTTGGAGCCATGTCCAAAAAGAAAAAAAAAAAGAAAAAAAAACCAAAAAAAAACCAGCTCATCAAGCTGTGAACTGAGAGTGGGAAAAGAGAAGGAGACATACAGAATCTTTATAAGTCAACTGTGGTTTCTAGAAATACTTCTCTAGAGAGAATGCTAACTTTGGTTTCAGTTATTTAGAAGAGGTTTATTACTGATGAAAATGAATGTTAGTGGCATTTTGAAATGCTTTATTTATGGCAATTATCTCCTTTGCAGGAGTAACAGTCTGTAAGATTTTCACTTTCATTATGTTGTACTATATTCTCCAAGCAGGCCCCATTAACTTTAATTTCTCAGAATAATATCAAGTGGCTTACTCTGTACTAACATACTGTGTACTTAAGGCACACCAGCAAATAAATAAGAGGTTCTCCGCAGCTATTATAAAAACTTTTCCACCCATAGAAATTCCCAAGATAATTTTTCTAACTGTAAGAGCAGAGAGGTTTCTGAAACATCTTTATAATTACATTTAATCGTGGAACTATAAAAAAGAAATTGAAAGAGATCTCAAAAAGGTTATCTAGTCCATCTCTTAACTATGCTGAGTTCATTTCTGAAAATATATTTGTTTATCTTCTTGACAATTTCTAATGATGAGGTCTCCATGACCTCTCTAGGAAATTCCTGTGCTTCACTTACCATCAGGAAGTACTTTTTCTCCACAATAAGTGACCTGAATACTACTTGCTGCAATTCAAATCAGTTAATCCTAAATCTTCCAGCCCATTCAGAGGTATTATCTCTTGTTGCTCTCCAACAAACTCTTTCCACAACAGCCTACAGCCTTCTTGAAATGCAAAGCACAAAACTGGAGAGAAAATACCAGCTGAAGCATTACCAGAGGTGAACATAACTGCATGATCTTACCATATGTCTCATACCTGCTTATTCATCTCTGCATCATGTTTGTTCTGTCTCTTCTATGTGACATTATTGGTTTGTGCTGCTCCACTATAATCCCTAGGTGTTCTGAAAATCTACTGTCTACCTTGCTGTTGTTCACTGTGGATTTGTGACGTTGTTTACTCTTCATCAGTATGACCTCTTGGGCTTGTCCCTACTGAATTTCATCTTTTTTTTTTAAGACTGTTTTCCTTTTTTTTTTCTTTACATATATTTGTGCTAGTGCTATACTTCTGCATTTTATTTTTTTATGCCCCTAAGAAGCATACTCTTAGTTTCTTCAACAATGCTGTCAGCAAAACACTGAACAGACACAGTTCCAGGACAAACTATTGCAGTCCTATCTTATACACCATTCCATTTTCACACCAAAACAATGACAACGATCTTGCACAGTGAGGTTTATTCACCTATTTGCATGCCATTTCTTTGTCAGTTTTAGCTATATTGTATTGGAATGTTACAGGAAACAGGATTTAAATTCTGTTCAAACCCTCAGGTATGGCCTCTTCTGTTACCCACCAGTCTGCAGACTTTCTTTCTCTGTCACAGTAACACAACAGTCTATCTACTGTGATTACTATGACAATTCAAATTCTGCCAATGTGTCTGCGTTTTCCTAATGATATCTTTAGAAAGTCATCACCTGATCATGAATACATACTTGCATTTTTGTAGTGACTGCTTATGACATTTATTGTTACGAACATTAAAGAAAAAAATTGTGTCTGAATTTTTCAAGGTTTCATTTTCTCAAAAATGACCAAATATGTATCTTTATTACATAATTTTTCTTCCTTGTTAGAAAAAGAATTAGAGCAAAAGCAACTGTACTTGATTAAAGTGGGAAGATATAAGACACGAATGACTGGGCAACTCTGGAGAGAGTATCTAAAAATCATTTTGTTTTGTTAGGAAGGGAGATTTAGGTTGGATGTCAGGGGGAAGTTCTTTACTATGAGAGTGGTGAGGTGCTGGCACAGGCTGCTCAGAGAGGCTGTGGATGCCCTGTCCCTGGAGCAGTTCAAGGCCAGGTTGGATGAGGCACTGGGCAGCCTGGTCTAGTATTAAATGTGGAGATTGTGGCCCTGCCTGACTGTAGCAGGGGGTTTGGAGATTCATGATCTTTGAAATCCCTTCCAAACTGGGACATTCCGTGATTCTGGAATTACTTGACCACTGAGGAGAGTTTATCTTCACTTGATGTCAACTATATACTTAAACTTTTTCCTATATCGGTGGAAATAACATTACAGTGGTTTCTGGTTTCTGGCTCCAAATGATTCAACCTTCTTTATTTATATGATTCTGGCCTTTTTTTTTTTTTTTTTTAATTTGCTTATGTTTGTACACGTAGTTTGTACTTTTATTATCCCACACAGCTGAAATGCTGCAGTTACCAATGGCACATTGATAACATCTATTTTTCCAGTTATATGTGCATATGCAATTCACTACATTATTTTAATGTTCCATCAACTAAGAGAGGGTCTCCTTTACATGTACAGGCACCCCAAGGCATTCAAGGCTTTCATGTTGTGCAAAATGGCTGCCGTAGTTCCTATATTTCTACCAGTAGCAAGATAAATAGCTGCTAAGATCAGCTGTTCTTATCCACCAGAAATCAAACAGCAAATTGTAATTTGATGATTTTTTTTTTCTTTGTTTGTTTTCTTATACAGGTTTAATACCGTCATGGTTTGGCCTGGTTTGCTAGTGGTTTGCTAGCACTTTGTGAGTGACCATTTAAAAAATCTAGAAGGAATGATTGGAATATGCTTTCTGTTATTTCACACAGCTATTCATATCTCAGTCCATGATGGTTGTGTTCTGACATATGCTGTCAAAACAGACAGTTAGTGCACCTGAGTGCACTAATATGCTCTAACTGCCCCAACCTGCCTCACCTGGGGCCCCACCTACAGTCTCCACCCATGGGCTTGGGAGATCCATTTAAGCTCAACCCCAAGCCTTAGCTCTTGTTTTGGCTTGTATCAGAATGAAATCTGTTTTCTTGTTTTTGTTTCTTGGCTGGATTTTGGCTTGTGTTGGAGGTATGCAGATGTATCTTTTGTTTTTTTTTTGCTGTTGTTTCTACGGTGAGTTTTAGTGATTGATCACTGTTCCATATCTGATCCTGTTGATAGGACCTTGCTTGTCCTGTTTGACTTAAGTAATTACACTTATACACGTGGAATTGCACTTGAGTTAGTAAGATTTGTTGACCAATGTTCTTGTCTTGTTCTGTGTTACGGATTAGTCCTGCTCTTCTGGCTCTTGAATAGCAACTTCATATTTTAGAATGCATGTCATCAGATGGTTCTCTTTTCTTTTTGAAAATGAGCCTTCCTCACAAGTGTTTATAGTGCACACTTAGATCTTAAATTACTTAATTATGACTGAAATGTTTGAATTGAAATATTACTAAGCTTTAGATTGGACTTTACCATATTTTAGTGTGATGCAGGCAAGGAATTCTAGTTATTAGGAAAAGAAAGCTGGCAAACTTTGTTAGCTCATGTGGTGGAAATGTAAGCCATGGCCTGAACCAGTGATTGAGCACCTGATGGGAACCCAGGGGAGCTCAGGTGCATTCAATGCATCTGAGTGAGTGGAAAGGGTGGAGCCAGGATCCACCCCTTCCCAGATCTTATTTATGGGTTAGCAGGGGGAGGTGAAGCTGTCTTGCTGGAAGTCCTTGCCTGCTGGAGGCCTTCTGATGGTAAGTAGTTTCTGTTCCTTTGTTTCTGTGTTGATAGCTGCTGCATTTGTGCTTGTACTCATTTTCTGTAGTCTGGGACTGTGCAACCCTGCTATTATTGTAGTACTTTCCATTGTGTTACAGCATCATAGTGTTGTCGTGAAGCTCTGGTGTCTATTTCTCTGTTCCCCTTAACTCTAGATGTTTGCTTATTCCCACAGTGAAAAATGCTACTACTTTTGAATTTCTAGCATTTCTTTGTCAGATGCTTATGTCTACTTTATATTGGTATGTACGTGAGTAAATCAAAGGGAATTAATTCTTATATCAAAATAAAAATGTGTGAGTTCTTACTACCTTTTTCCTTTAGCTATTGAAGAATTTCTTCGTTTTATTTCAAGTTGTTGATTTAGAGTGAATGAATTACTTGGGAAAAGCTAGGCTTGAAAATAACTTGTAGTCTTAATTCAATTCTATTATGTTTCTACCACTGCTAGTTGGTTTATCTTCAGTTTTTGGTTGTATGAATCCTGGAAATATTGAGTATCTGTTCAAATTCAAAGTAGACTTACATCTTCTGGTAAAGGAAGTGTAATGAGAGATCTTAAAGCTTCAAGAACTGACTGTGAACTAAAAAGAAAAACCTTCTTGTCCTAATGAGAAGGCATGCAAGTGCTCAGAGGCAGAGAGACTGTCTTATAATGAGCAGTGAAAAGCTGGTGGTTGAAATCTTCATTTTGCAAGCTATCATCTTCGTGCAATTGAGTGTTGTTATACCCATTCAGAGCAGGCAAAAATTTTAGGAGATAGTGTTCTATATTATGCTTTCTACTTGCCACTTGCATAGCTAGTACCATAAATTCTACATAACTCTATATGCTCCATTTACCTTTGTGGAAAGCAGTATCTGAGCTGTGTGTATTGTTGTGTAAGTATAAAGCAGTATCTGAGCTGTGTGTATTGTTGTGTAAGTATCTAGAAATTTGATTTTTTTTTAATCTACTACAGAAGTGGGAGATAAGAAGGTTTTTCCACTTTTGGGTGTTTGCCTGTCAGAGGCAAGGAATACTTTGTGAATAAGTTTTTGGAAAAACTGGTCTGACTGATGTTCTAAACGTGCTATGGCTGGAAAGAGAGTGGTGTAAGCTTTTCTGTGCATTTGTCTGAAGCAAGCAGGCCTGATCTAAATGAGTTGGCATGTTGGGCCATGAAGGGGGGAATTTGGATTTGTGGATGGTTGCTGTAGTGTTTAAACTGTGCACCATTCCCATTGGTGCTAGTAAAACAGTGAGAAGCCAGAGTACTTTACTGATCAGTATACTGGCCTTATATAGGGTCATATTTCTTATCTACTCAGCAGTGACTTTTTTTTCCCTTGTCTGTGTAGTGTTTTTACTGTGGGAAGGCCTTACACAGGTGCCTGTGGTACCTTATGCTTTTCCACAGTGTTTTCAAGTCTAGAATCAACTAGAATCACTTCAGCACTGCAAGCAGCCTGGCACCCAGCTGCTTCAAATGTGACTGAGAGCAAATTTGCTTGATCTTTATCTCTGCTTGACCTGTTGTCTTGAGCTATATCTTTCAGGAGGACTGTATTCTACATCTGGATTTATTTATTAACCATTTCTGTGGGTTCTGTGTGATCTGGTCAGGAAAGAAATGAAAGGGACTTATATTCAGAAGTTAACAACTTCATGCACTGACTTTCTTGTTCTTTTGGTCTTGCCTCTGTTGTCGAGCCTTGGGTGTTTGTAGAGGAACTGCCATAGCTGTGAAGAATTTCTTTCCACTTATTTCCCAAGTTCAGTAGTACAGCCATATTTTCAAGCATGGGAAACAGCTAGTCATCTGCAAGGGCTTTATCAGAATTGATAATAGAACATAAGGTTCAGACTCTCTGTGAGTGTAAACTACTTTGGCTTCAAAGAAGCTGTACTGACAGCTGTGTTTGGATGACTTCAGCATTAGGTCAAATTGTAGTTATTTCAACAAAAATACCTTAGATAAAACCTGTGAAACAGAGGACCAGTTCTAGCTCACAGTGGAATTAAAACCCAAAGTGGAAGAGGAGCACAGGCAGTTCCTAGTATCCTAAATGCTGCAGCCAAACCAGCAAAAGGTTTAAGGAAATGACTCACAGTACTCAGAAGAAAGAAAAACATCATAGTAATGGCGAGAAAAGCTAGGTTAATGTAACCATACTGTTGAAGTTGAGTTTACTAGCCCACAGAGGCAGAGACAGGAAGCAGTGAAATGACTGAATTACATTCCTAAAACAAGTCTGTAATAGTGTTTTATCAGGTTAGTGACTGTAAATATCCAAGAACTTCAGCAGGCATGGAGAAATACATTTCGCACATGGATGTTTTTACGTGGACATGCTGAAGTAGATGCATTTGCACATGCAACAGATGGAGATTTGATCCAGACATATCAGTATATCAAATGTCCTTTGGTAATACCGAAAAGTGTTTTACGTTGCTTAATAAATGCTTGACTCTTGATCCTCATATGTTTTAGATGCTACTTCCAAAGAAAGTGTTGATGCTTTCTGGGTTAATATTTGTATTACATCTCTTTCAGAAGAGATGGGGGAAAAAAACCTCAAAGTAAAACTTAGTGGGATAATAGTGTAGAAATGCGTTCTATCTTACTGCATGAGCTATGAGAATTGAAGTGAAACCTGGGTTTATTCTGTGATTACAAGGATCACACGTTGGCAGAGTTCATCTTAATTACAGCTCAAGTGATACTGCTAGCTTTCTTTTCTGAATGATTCCTTCTATTTTGTTCTGTAAACAATTGGTGTTGCCTTTAGATTAATCTCCAAATGTATTTTGGCTGCAGATAGCAGGGTTGTCTGATTGACAGCCTTTCTTTTAAAGGAACGCTCAAAGGATGAACAGACAGGAGGCTGTGGACATGAACTTGTGCTTGGAGTCATGAACAGATTCAATTCAGGACATGACCATGAGCAGCACTATGCAAGTGGCCCTGTTCTGACCATGGGAGTGAACTTGCCTTTGGAAATCCTATTTACTTAATTCAGTCTTATTCTGTTTTCATCTTTATGCAGGAATTGTGTACAGTTTTTATCTGTATTTGTTTTTCCAAACTGTTACATGATCTTATTCCAAATGCTGTTTCTATGTGCAGTTGTCTAGTTTGGTACAAGAATGTTCTATGGAACTTCACTAATGGTTTATCTTACTATTCCAAGATAAATCACATCTGTTAGTTCTCCTTATGGGAATCTGTAACATGCTCTTTACAAATCTGGCTATTCTTTAAGCCATACACATTTAAAAATCATTTACTAGTTTGTTCCAGAATCATCTGCTTCTTTCCAATCTCTCATTTTCTGGTTTTTAGTTAGGTGCTGTGCTCTTGCGTTTTTTTTGAGCTTCACTTTTTTTATTAGGAGTTTGTTCCACATATTTTTGGGGGGTTCCTCCACTTTCCTCCCGTATTGTTTTCTGAGTTAGTCACTTGCATGGAGTGCTAGTCAGAGTCTTTAGGAAATACAGAGCCTCTGCTATGGTAACTTGAATTCCTCATTTTCTCTTGTTTTGCGTAATGCTCTCAATTCCTACTGGAGAGGGCATGAGGGTAGAGTTAGGTTTGGCATGGAAACACTGTTGGCTAACAGAGGCAGCAAGTAGTCTCTTCCCTAAAGCTACATGTTCAAATCACCAAGTGAATAGTCATCATCTGTGAGGCTGACCACACTAATGTGCTGTTTTTCTGGCAGCAGAAGGAACAGATGTACTTCCCAAAGGGCTAAACTGTTGCCTGCTGGAATTGTCTCTCTGTATTTAGTCTGCGTAGGGGAGTATACATAAACGAGTTTATAAAAATAAAAAAGGTTGAAAGTAGATGTTCATTTTATGTTCATTTAAAATAAAAATTAACCACCTAGTTTATTCCAGTGACAGTGTGCAAAAACCACTGCCTTTGGCTTCTCCATGGTTTAGTCTTTCTGCAGAGCTGTGAACAACATCAGTAAAAATGAATTTGCTTTTTAAGTGTAGCTTGGAGCAGTGGCTGGCTAGGGCTGTTAGCAACAATTTTCTACAATGAAGACACAACATGCAAGGGACTTCATAAGTGTGTGTATGTGTACCAGTCTGCATGCTTTCAGAGTGATGCGGTGTTGAAACTGGTGCAGCCACTGGGACAGTTTAAAGCCATTTGAGCTTCTCAGTGAGCCTCAGATAGCTCTAGGAGACATACCTGCATATTGAACCGTGGGGCTTGCTGTACTTTGTTTTATAACTATCAGAGTTCAGTGATACTGTACTTCTGTATGCAGCTATAGTACAGAGTGATGCATGGATGAAATACAAAGTAATTAGTCTTCCATTCCTTTTTTTTTTTTTTTTTACCTTAGTATGTGCTCTTTTAAATGAGTTGAATTACTAACTTGACTTGGTTAACCCTAGGGGAAGGCCTTTTAATTATTAACTTAAATAGTTGTGGGAGTCTTGTACATTTTACTCTAAGAATGTTATGCATTCTTTAGTAAAATAGTCTGTGTCTTATCTGACTCTTTCTGGATATTTAAAATAAACAGATATTAAAATATACAATGCAAAACCACGGCTGACTAAATTATGCTTAAGAGGTGTGGCAGTGATTCCAACTAACAAAGAACAGTATCCTTCTATAGCCATCCTGCAAGGGATAGACACTATTAGAGCTGGTGGAGTTGAAGAGCGGTGTGATTTCAGAGTGTTGTAAGAAAACATTGAGTTGGGGACCCTTATTTACAGGACATGATAACAGTGCAATACAAGGACTTGTATCCAGATGCTGCATGCTAATTTGTTTGTTAAATAATCTGTACCCTACTTGCCTTCATTTTGTGTAACATACTGTGACTAGTGCTAAAGTGGCAAAAGCTGTGATGTTTGTCTTGAGGTGAGAGCAGATGACGTACATGATATATACAAAAGTAGTCTAACAGATAATTAATCCACTAGTGGATATGAGGTTACTGGAATGACCCTATATAGGTGTAG